GGGCACTTGTAAGCTAATCTGAAGCCTTCTGCACATGCAGTCATCTTTCTTAGCCCTAAGGAATGTTAAATCGTTTTCTCTTTGGCTTGGTCATGTTTTCCAGAAATGACTTTTCTTACACACAAGAAGTCACCATCAACATCCCCCGTTATAAAGACAGCATCCAAACTGGAGTCAAACTTGTAATTAATACTCTTGCCTGAGCCTCCTGAGTGCTGAAATTATGGGTGTACTGCCATGCCTGCCTCTGAAGACGTTGCTTTTTAAAGATAGATTTACTTAATATGTATATTTGTGTCTGGGTGACTGTGTATGCACGTGGGTGATGGGTTGTAGGTGTGTTGACTACAGAGCTGTGGTGTCTGCTTGTTACATGGGCTCTGGGGTTCAGGCCGTGTTCCTCATGATCTGAGTAGGTACTCTTAACCACAGAGCTATCTCTCTCCACCTGTGGAAGGTATATTTTGTATTGGTTTTTAAGATTTATTTTTAATTTATGTGTCTAAATGGTTTGCCTGCGTGTATGAAAGTGCACTGCATGCATGTCTGGTGCCTGCTGTGGCCAGAACAGGATCGAATCACTTGGAATGGAACTGGGGGAGGCTGTGTATTGCCTTCTGGGTGCTGGGAACCGAACCCCAGGTCCTCTGCTAGAGCAGTAAGGCTCTTGACCACTAAGCCATATCTCTAACCCAAGACATAATTTTTTTATCCCAGTGTTATAGGAGCAAAGTCAGAAAGTTTTGGAGTCTTTTTTTTAAAAAAAATTATTTATTTTTATTTTATATGCATTGGTGGTTTTGCCTCTATGTTCTGTGTGAGGGTGTTAAGTTTCCTGAAACAAGAGTTACAGACAGCTGGGAGCTGCCATGTGGATGCTGGGAATTGAACCCAGGTCCTCTGGAAGAGTATTCAGTGCTCTTACCTGGTGAGCATTCTCTCCAGCCCAAGATTTGGAGTGTTAAAAAAAATATTACTTTTGCTCAGATTCAATATAGCTCTGTTTTTGGCTATTCTATTGTCTCATGTCAAGAAAGGTACCTCCAAACACAAAAACCTAATGCAGTTGGGGTTTCCTAGCCATTCAAAGAAGGGAACACAGCTGGGGCAGCTAACAACATTTTGATTGGTGTTTCAGGCAGTGTTGCCCTTTGGGCCTGCCTTCACTCAACAAGACCCAGTCTGCTGTAAAGCAGGTTGTGCCTCTGCTTTCATAATTTCACATGGAAATGATCATTTATGTGCTTTCCAAAGACCAAGTATATTTTCACTGTGTCATTATATTAATTTTATAATTAATTTCTGTATTTTATTTTTTTGGCTGGTGAGATGGATCAGATATAAGAAAGAGCACATGCTGCAAGCCTGAGAACCTGAGTTTGGTCCCCAGGAGGTAGAGGAAGAGAACTCTCAGAGCTCACTCTGCCCTCCCCCAAACTGTAAGCCAGTCCCCAGTTCAGTGCTTCCTTCTCAGAGTTGCCTTGTCACTTCACAACTGCACACTTTTTAATGGGCAAGAATGTCGTCATACTGTTTTAAAACCTGCTTTTATGTTTGATGTGTTTAGGGGATTTTGTGAAATAACATATAAACCCAGTGCTTGTTTGTAACTAGCATGTGTTTATATTTCCATGATATAAATGCACTCTAGTTCCTTAAGCCTTTCTTATTACTGAGCATTTAGAAAGGTTTTAGTTTTTGTGGCCTTACTGATTGAATAGGACCTTGCTTAAGAGTCAGGAGTCAAGAGCTCTACTGCTGAGCTCCCAGCTCTTTCCAGTGTTGTAGTACCACTGAATGTCTTTATACATGCACACACTTTCCTAGTATGGGTACTATTTTGACAGCAATAGGTATAATATAGTGTGGTACTAATCGCTTAATATTATTGTTAGACTCAGGTATAAGGCAACAGCTCAAGAAAGCTGCACACATGTGCAAGCCATGCTTCAGGCCTTCCCAGGACATCTGCATGGCTTCCTATCTGACTACAGATTTGGGGAGGAAGGCTACAACATCTCAGGGTTTTTTTTGGTTATTTTCCAGTACTGGCGTTGAGTCCAAGGCTTCCTGCATGCTAAGCAAGTGCATTCCCAGCTCTCCTTACTGTTTTTGATAAGATCTTATTATGTTGCCTCAGACTTGTGATCCTCTACTTCCAGCTTCCAGAGCAGCTGGGATTATAGTCCCATGCCACCACACCTGTAATTCACTGCCAAGACTTAGTTATAAAGCTCAAGAGAACAAACACTACAGTTACCATTGCAGTTGTATTATAAAGATCAGAGCATGGCCAGCAAAATGGAGCCCTCCATGGGGCAAGATTCCTCAGAGCCAGAAAACAGAGTTGGCATCCCTTCCCCATGGGATCCGGGCGCTGTGGGATCAGGCTGTGGCTCCGGCAGAACCCATGGTCTGTGTCATGCACCAGAGAGTTCTTCCAAGCCTTGTAACCACACTGCTATTTGGATTTCATTATGTCAACATTCACTGGAAATTTGCCAGTGTGCAGTCTGACTCTAATCTCCGTCCAACCTCCCTGGAGGTTGGGGTTGACTCAGCTCCCCATTCTGTAATCTTAAGGAGTCCTTCCTAGCTCCCATTCTGAATGCCTCTTGGGAAACTAAAAAAATTTGAAAGTTCTGCCAGAATTTTGAGAGGGGGAAAAAAACCCCAGACAAGTATACAACAGTTACAAGAAAAAAAAATTCTAGTTGAACAGAAGGCACATTTTAATTTTCAGTAGATATTGACCATCCCTAAAGGCATACTGATTTATTCTATGCCGCTAGTACAATTTCTGCTAACTTTGCTATTAGAGGAACTTCTACTTTCCCTCTGTTCTGTCGATCACTCTTTTGTTTACATTTTTGACTCTTGTGAAAAGAGCATTTCTGGGGCTATGGTTAGCCATGTGTATGTGTGTTTGAACTGCTTGTTTTTTTTTTTTTTTTTTAGCTTTGCTACTTTCTAGCTGTTATAGTATATTTATAATGCACACGAACACATGAGTGTTTTTTCACGTATACATATTTCAAACATTTCTTCTCATGCCACTGGCTTATAAAATAAGGTTTTATGAATGAGGCTCACTGTTTTTAATGATACAGCATTATGAATTTAAATTAAGTTGACATTTGTAAAACTGTTTCTATAAATGAAGAAGAAAGATCTTTACTTTTTTCCCTCTCTTCCCCCCTTTTTTTAGGCATGGTTTCACTGAGTGGCAAGCGTTTGGCTAACCTGGAACCTGATATGTAGAACAGAGATTTGACAGTTTGGCTCTTTTGGGGAGTTCTCCCCCCACCCCTTTGGTTTTTCTGTGTAGCTTTGGAGCCTGTCCTGGACTTGATCTATAGACCAGACTGGCCTTAAACTCATAGAGATCCACCTACCTCTGCCTTCTAAGTGCTGGGTTTAAAGGTGTGTGCCACCACCGCCCAACTTTGTTTTGTTTTTTACTACTACTTAGAATGTATAATGTTGAATTTCATAGAGACTTAAATTATATGTAACTAGTATTATGAAGTAGTATGTATGTAGAATGTAGGAGTAAAATTTTATGGAGCTAGTTTGTCTCATTTTTTGGACATTTATGTTAAAGAATAAGGAAGAGTTGAAGACCAAGAAGAGACTATTTGTGGTAGCGTATGAGAAGTCAAAGCTAGTAACTACCATAATCTGGATAGTATTTCTTTAAATAATTGTAGGAGTGTGCTTTGTGTAGAAGTATATGTTAGAAGAATGAATTCTTTCCAATAAAATTGATACTTGGAGGCTTGAGAGATGGCTCAGAGGTAAAGAGTGTGTAATCTTCTTGCAGAGGACCTGGTACAGATTCCCATCACCTACCTCAGGTGCTCACAGCTGCCTGTAACTCCAGCTCCAAGAACTCTGAGACCTCTTCCTCTACAGGCACCTGTGCTCACCTGCATACACCTGCACACATAGTTAATACAGATATAAAATCTATTTCTAATGGATTGCCCACAGATTAAAAGACTTTATACTTTGTCATAAAACTGAGAGATATCTATTAGAATGAATTTCAATTACACTAGCAGAATTTTGTTTCATAACTCAGCTTCATATAACATTTTAATATGTCCTCATGGGTATTGTTTTATATCTGTAGATACTTCTGTTTTCAAAACATGTGGATATAGTCATGTTGATATCTCCAAGTAACACTTTGCAAAAAGAAATTAATATAATCTCCCATTTTATAAATCAGAAACTAAGGCTCGGCAATATTAATGACTGGGTCAATCCAGTGTTTTTTTTTTTCCATTTCACTGTTAGTTTCCTGTTGACACTGTAACAAATCGCCATACATGTAGTGGCTGTAAACCACACAGATCTGAGCTCTTACAGTGCTGGTGGGCAGTAGTCTGCAGTAACTCTCTCTTTGGGGGCTCAAATCAAGCTATTGGCAGAATGCTGCTGAGACCCCAGGGAATCTTCGCTTGTTTTCTCCAGCTTCTAGAGACTGCTTGCATTTCTTTGCTTATGATCTGCTTCCTGCTTTTCACAGCCACAGCATCAGGTCAGTTGAATCCTCTATTTAGGATTTTACCAGATTCATCTACATTTTAAGAACCTTTGTAATTACATTGGCTATGCCCAGATAACCTAGGTTATTCTTTTTCATATCAGCTAATTAAGCTAGCTAATACTACCTGCAGCCTTTATTCTTCTTTGCCTTGCAACCTATTTCCAAGACTTACAATATGTAGACATAACCAGGAGGCCATTCTGCCCACCTCAGTCTAACTCTTGAATGCCCTTACTGTGTAAGTATGCTTTTGATCTACCAGAGAGAAAGAAAAATGATTTGAGATTAAAGGGGTTTTTAAGTAATTTGAGTTACTTATTATATTATACTTAAAAGACACTATTATACTTAAAAGACCTTTATGTAAAATCTAAGATAGCTAAATAAGTATTTTGAAATTTTCTCCGAAACAGCATTATTGTTTTAACTTCAGCACAGTGGCTTAATGTTACTCCAGCCAGCGATTGCAGCTCTGCAGTTGTTGGCTGGCTTCTGCTGCGCAGACCTCAGCTTGACAGGAGTTCTGTTCCTGAAGGCACCGGCTCTGCTGCTGCTGCTAAAGTTAGCTTTAGGTAAATCTCTATTGCTCTGTTTATAAATAAGACTCAAAATTCAATGGCTGGGGTGAAAACCTGCTAGCTCAGAGAGGCTGGGTTGCAGCTAGCTAGCCATCTCCTTGCCTGCATCTATCCAAATCCCTTCCTACTTCTTCCTGTGTATCTATCTCTTCCAGATGCCCTCTGATGCACTGGGATTACTTACTTTCTGTCAACCGCTTACTGACTCAGCCTCCTGACCCAAGGCTAATTTATATTTAGTTAATGCAAATGCACACTCGGAGTTCACAGTCTGAATATTCCCCAACACAGCATAAATGGATGGAGTTTGAAACATAGGGGCAAAAAAGGTATTTTCTGATTTCACTTTGAGCAATCCAAAGCAGAGTTGTTGTCGTAGTATATTCATATTAAATAAAATGCTCAATTTGTATCTGGTAATTAAAATGTTTCCTTACACTATAATGACTATGTAGAACTTCGCGGTTAACTGATAGTCCATGGAATGGGATAGACAATTTGTGTTTTACACTGACTTTTAATAGACTAGGTAGTTTTCATCAGATTTTAAAAGGGAATCTGTGACCCTAACTTGATTCACAACATTGATCTAAGTTTCATTTTGTTGCTAACTAATTTTTTTAACTTTGTGCATCGAGTGTGCTAGAGTCCAGAAACACCTGGGCTACTGTGCATGGAGGCCAGAAGACAGCCTTGGATGTTGGTCCTTGCCTCCGCTTTGTTTACTACTGCATACAGCAAGCTGGCTGGCACAAGAGAGTCTGAAAATTTTCATATCTGCCTCCTCTTCCTGTAGGAGCTCTGGAACATGGGCTCTGGAGATCTGAGCTCAGGTCCTCAGCTGGGCTGGAAACCAGATCTCTAGTCCTTGTCTATAATCTTGAGCAGGGGCATATTGTGATGTTTTCGTGATTTTATATTTGAAGATTTATTAAGTTTCTAAGTGCTAGATGGTAGCAGCAGAAAAATTATATTTATAGAGCTTCGTGATTGTCAAGTTTTTCTTGTAAACTTTATTTTAAAACTTTTTAAATACTTTCTTCCTGACTATCTTTAAAAGTCTACTGAGCTCTGTAGTAAGTCGGTCCTGGAGTTTTCAGTTTTCAAGGGGAGGTTCATGTGCATACAAAGATGTCAAGTGTAGCATTTGAAGATTTTGACCAATGCATACACTATGCACACATCATTAACACAGGGCATCCCTTTTCTGTTTCTGTTACCATGAACTAGTTTTGTTGTTGAACTTCATATACGTGAAGTCATACCACATGTGCTCACTGACTTTGGCTAAATGTGAAGTAGGAGCAGTTAGAATTGAGTCATTGGAAAGGGCGTGGGCTCCTTCCCCCATCCTGTAATATTGTGCTGTGATTTGTGGACACACATGAAGATAACCAGGTGTTTAACTGATGATGGACACTTAGACTGAAGTGTATGGCTATCTCTAGTAAGAGAGGAATCAAAATTTCATATTTAATCTGTTCCCATTTCTTCATTCTTTAGTTTCCAGTTATTGGTTAAATTTTAGGTTTTTGTTCAAGGTTTAGGTAACTCACTGCAGTGGTGGGGTGTAGTGGTTGCCTTACTCCCAGATTGTAATCCCCACACATTCAGGGTTCAGGGAGCTTGGTTTTTCGGATCACTGTTTCAAAGTGTGTGAGGAATTCCACTTGTTCAAGGAATACAGAGGCCTAGAGAACAAAAATTTGCATGTTAGGTATTTGTGGTTTTAGTTTGATCTTTTAAAAAATCAGATATAGGCAATGGCGGTTTTTTTTTTTTTTGGTAGTCTTTTGTGTTTTTATAGAAGCCAATTGAGGCATAAATGAATCAAATATACTGTTTTGCATTCAATTTAACCAATTTGAAACAACAACTGGAACTAAAGGAGGTTTCAGCTTTATATGAGAAGAGCTAGCAAAGGCCGTTCTCTGGGCCTGTGAAGGTGGGAATGTGCTGGGAGAGAGGGGGCATGCTCTGCAAAGGCTAGCAAGGGTCTTGGCTACAGGGAATCAGGGATGTGGGTTTTTTTTGTTTGTTTGTTTTTGTTTTTTGTACTTTGCTTTGTTTTTAGACAGGGTCTTGCTATGTAGCTTTGCCTGGCCTAGAACTGATTGTGGAGACTAGACCGGCCTCAGACTTGGAGCAGTCCTGCTTCTGTCTGCCTCCTAAATGGCCACCACATGCTACCTGTATCCACTTTTGACATAGTACTTTTTAAATATAAGGAGGCATCATTTTACTTTAAAGTCAGTTAAAACTTTTATTTCTCATTTTTGGAAGTTTCTCTATCCAATCTGGCCTGTTTTTAAAAATCCATGTCTATGGTTTGGTTGTTTTAATGACCCACAGCAGGGAAAATCCCACTGAAGCAGTTATACGAAGGTGTGGGGTGCAGTGCGTGCCTGTTGGAAAAGCGCTCCTGTGGGTGGTGTGCTGGAAGGGCGCTTGTGCAGAGTGGCTTTTGTTACATGTCAGGACAGGGAGGGCATTTCACCTCCTTTCCATTGAGAGCAAAGCTAATTCTGTAGCCCTCATTCCTTGGCGGGAGGAAAACAGTTTTCCTTGCTGGGAGTTGGAAGCCTGAGGGCAGTGGTTCTCAACCTGTGGGTCGCAACCCCCTTTCACAGGGGTTGCATATCAGATATCTGCATTATGATTCATAACAGTAGCAAAATTACTGTTATGAAGTAGCAACAAAAATAATTTTATGGTGTGGGGGTGGTCACCGTTACATGAGGAACTGTAGTAAAGGGTCACAGTATTAGGAAGGTTGAGAACCATTGCTCTAAAAGAAATTGAGAAAATTGACAGGTACTCCACTGAAGGTTGAAATCTGTTCATTGTCTACCCTGCTCTCTTGCTGTAGCTATGTCTACATGCCCTAATTATATATAGGGAGGACCAAAAAAATGTGATACAGTAGACTTTTTACAAGCAAAACAGCACAAGACTTAGCTAATCTTTGTGTTTTAGCTCACTTAAATTTGAATGTGGAGGAAACGTTTAAGTGTTCTAATTACCATGCTTAATCTGTATCACATTTTTATTGCTGTGTGTAAAGCAATAAAAATATTGCAGTGCCTACTGCAATAAGTTATATAAGCTTTTGGTACTGGAATATAAAGATGAAGAAAGATCATTGTCCTTAGGAAGTATGTGCTTGCTAGATAAAAAGCCTTGAAAAGAAATTGTTGCAATATTAAAAAGTACTGTGTTTTGTTTATTTCAACAACTTTATTACCGTGTGTGTGTGTGTGTGTGTGTGTGTGTGTGTGTAGAGAAAAGATAAGATGGGAATAGTGCTTTTAGAACTGTTTATACTCAGGTCTCTTGTATCTGATTCTATCTGTGTGCCCTGAAAACAGTTGGGATGGCACCATTGAAACCTCATTTTATAGAAGACTGGCCACTTAAAATTTTCTGGAAAAATTAATTCTGTAGCCACACAGATTTGTAACTTACTGAAGTTCTTCAATAAAGAAATCTAGTTAACTTATTTTAAACCACTATTTCCCAAATTAATTCTATAGTTATTTTTATATTTCATTTATTTATTTTATTCTGTGACTCTCAAACATTCATGATAGTGGAGAATCAGTACTGGGCCCCAGTTTCTGTTTGATTAGATTTAGGGTGGACTGGGAATTTGCATTTTTTTTTATAAGTTTGCTTTTACCTCATGCTCCCTTGAGATAAAGTTCCTAAAACTGTGGTAGAGCATCATCTTACAATTTCCCTGACAAAAGAAGGTACCTGTGACAATGTGAAAAAGCATGGCTCACTATAAGCTCACATATTTGAGCACTTGGTCTCTAGTTGATGGAACTGTTTGGAAGGGATTAGGAGATGTAGTCTTGTTGGAGGTGTGTCATTGGGGGTGGGTTTAGAGTCTTCAATAGATGCTCACCATTCCCAGGATGCTCTCTCTGCTTCCTGGTTGTTGTTTTAGTGTGTTAGTCTGTCTGCTACTGCTCCAGTAAATACCATACCTGCCTACTGCCATGGCCCCATCATGGTGGTCATGGGCTCCAACCCTCTAGAATTCTAATTAAATGCTTTCTTCTATAACTTGCCTTGGTCATGGTGTTTTGTCACAGCAATAGAAAAGTAACTAAGACAGTACCCTGAAATTTGGAAAGCTAGGTGTGGCCACACACACCTGTAATCACAGTTTGAGAAGCTGAAGCAGGAGGATTAAATTAAAGTCAACCTGGGTTGTATGCATTTCAAGACCTTGCCTCGTAAACAAAACAAAACAAAAAAAGAAAATAATTGTTGTTGTCTTCTTCTTCCTTCTCCTCTTCCTTCTTCTCTTCCTCCTCTTCCTTTTCCTCTTCTTCCTCCTCTTCTTCTGTAGAGAGTCTAGAGCAAGTGGTCTTAATTAAAACAATTACCCTAGGTAACATTATCTTCCTTTTTTACTAAGTCTTTGTTAGCCCTGTAACCTTGAGTTCAGTTCCTGTGTTCTTAGAAATGAAGAACTCTATTTAGAGAAGGTCATAGTTAAGGAATAAATGATGCATTTACCACAGTATAGATGCATCTCATGCCAGTTTACAACTTTAATGAGCAAATGGCAAATTGGGCTCAGATGGCTTCTTTAGTTAGAAACTTAATAGAAACATGGAGGCCACACTCCAAACTCACTGCTGCAAGTCTGCACTTGGAGAATGTCCAAGAGATTTGTATGTATATTGCCTTATGAAAAGCATTAATGTAGCTTACATGTTGGGAAAAAGCAATGCATGGTTAGTGTGGTCTGTGATTCACTTTGATCCATTTCATATACTGGCTGGTTTTGCATGTCTATGTTAATGTTATCAATTAGAATATATACTATTTGGCTGGGCGGTGGTGGTGAACATCTTTAATCCCAGCATTTGGGAGGCAGAGACAGGCAGATGTCTATGAGTTCGGGCCAACTTGATCTACAGAGCGAGTTCCAGGACAGCTAGGGTTTTTACAGAAAGAAATCCTGTCTCAAAAAACCA